ACACCAGCTCGAGGGCTGGTGTGACTTGATGTTACACCCGACTTTTTCACAGATGTGATTTGGGACGTTTTCTGGTGTGACACCAGAAACCTGGTGTTCTGCTGTGACACCAGAAATCTGATGTGTGGGTATGACACCAGAAATCTGGTGTTCTGATGTTACACCAGAAATCTGGTGTTCTGGCGGGACATCAGGTTTTGTTGTAATATGATACCAGACCACCTGTTGACTGGGTGTTGCTTTACTCACAAAAAAGCGTACAATGATAAGTTTGACAACAACGCTGCTGCCATAATTACTTTATTCAAAAAAGCAAAAAAGCACGACAGTAAAGCTTCTGAAGCTTTACTGTTGTAGGGAGTTGGCCGTGATCAACTGGAGTTTGTCCGGAGCCACTGCCCTGCGTCGAAGAACCGGACGCCCTGTCGTTCCGAAATTCTTGGCCTTTCAGCTTGCGGTTGACTCGTGTCTTAGTTACGCTGATCCGTTCCGCGTACCCCTCCGCACCAGAAATTTCCTCTTCTAAGGCATCATATTCGACAGATAGCTCGATTTCCTTGTCCAGCTCTTTCAGGGAAGCCTCCTTACGTAGAAGAATATCAAATGTTCCGTGGCCAGCAGACGCCAGTCTCGTTGATGATCTTTGTTGTGGCGGCTCGCAGGGTAATCCTCTTTCGCTTCAGGCGGTCGACGCCCCCTTCGCTCGTAGCAGGCATATCGGCCCCAAAAACTGTAATAATTACTAGCTTCCTTTGTTGCTTTGCTACCGAACCAAGCTCGTCGGAAGTAAGGAAAGCGCACCAACACATCTTTTCGGCTTCGACTCACAAAGAAGACTTCTTTACTTTCTCAAACTTAAACAAGAATACCGGCGGAAAGGGAAAGAGAAACCCTCGAAGAGGCCAGCCGGCGAGCGCCCCAAGCTGCTCAGGGCCACCCGGGAAAGTGCTCGGGACGAGGGGGGTACTTCTTGAGCACAAAGGAGCCCGCCGCGGGGTCGCGACCACCAAAACGGGAGGAAACAAGGCACCCCGTCGGGGGACGGAGAGGCACACGAACTAATAGAAAACACGCGCGCGGACCGGGGGGAGAAGTCAACAAAACACAACTCTGGTGTCACATCAAACTGCGTGGTGTGCACACCAGGCTGCCTGGTCGGCGCATGTGTCCTTGTGATGTGACACCAGACTCCCTTGGTGTACCCATCAGGCTGATGTGCGGGTACACCAGCATTTCTGGTGGGCACGCCAGGCTGGTGTGTTCGTATCATCAGCATCGCTGGTGGGCACACCAGATATTCTGGTGTCACATCAGGATTCTTTGATGTCACACCAGGATTGCCTGGTGTATTTTTCATTAGGGTAGTGATTTTTTCACGAGACAGCATGCCTGATGTTGTATACACTGTTCATCTTTTTGGCCGCATGGTTGAAGGAGGACGCGTCGTCAGCTGCGAGGAAGCTGAGGTTCTTCTCCGAGATGTCAACTCCTATCGCCTCTGTGGAGGTGGCGTGCAGACAAAAAATAGGTCCCGCGAGCAACACCGCAGTGGTAGTCCCCCTTCTTTCGTCCGTTCTCTCGATGTTTTTTTTTCGCTATGATGGTTTAAATTATATTAATTTTTATTTTCAACTCTAGTATTAATGGACTGAAATCAAGTTTTGGAACAATGTCGGCGCAAATCCCTCATATTTAGGATAAATGTAGCAGGATGTAGCTGGGTAAGCCCTTTGGCGCAGTTCGGCGCAAATCGCGCAGTAATCACATCACCAGCAGTTCCATGTTGGCAAGAAGTGAACACACACTGGAGATTTTTTAATAGTGTTCTCAAACCGCGTTTTGAGAATTCAGCCAAAAACAAAAGGCAATACACTAATGCAGAAACATGGAAAAGCACCATTGATGGTATCCTGAAACAAACGTCTAACTCGTGATTACGGCTTTCTTTTTCGCTGCATCCGACAGAGTAACGAAATGGCCGCCCAAGTCGAAACTCAACATTTTTTTATTTTTTCTCAGAATGTTGCAAACTATATCATTTCCAAGCAGGTCGGCACTATGTGCCCTTGTAAATAAGTATTCTACTACTACTAGGCCAAGAATGCTGCACCCGGACTTCTTGCAGTAACTTATTGCAGCGGCTGCGTGGGCGAGTCCAGGATCCTATAAGAAACTGTGATGTCAAACTTGTAAAAAAAGATTCGACGTCTCTGTTTATCGATTTGCTCTTACGCTCCATTATACCATTGCTGCGACGAAGTGTCCCTGAGCCCAAGGAAGGAAGAAGGGACAGAAAGGGAGACAAAGAAGTTAACCCGGGGTATTTCTTGAGCACAAAGCGGTGCGATAGGCAGATATAGAAATACGACTAAGCGCGATAATAATCGTGCGCATTTTTTCTGAATATGTAAACCACGAAAATAGCTGATGTCAAAGGGACGGTAAAATAAATTTTGAGTTTACAATTCACAATGGATATTTGTTGATGATATTATTCCATAACTGCGGATGCAGGTTGTGCGTCCAAGACTGGCTCCACACTGTCCAGTAAAACGTTGCTTTCGGTAGCAGAGGTATCAGGTGCTGGAGGCGACGGTCGGCCTCAACAAGAGAGATGGGGAGGGGAACCTCCGTGACGACACAGCCCAAATGGGGTGACCTAGAAAAGGCAGGGTGCTGCAGCTTTCAGATCTGTTTTGACTGCACGCATAGCCATTGATGAAAGAACTCGCGATTACTACTGCCATGTTTTCCAACAACCTCCTTCGCCATACTCGGGGAACTTTTGTAGAACGATTCGACGAGTGATGAAGATGATATAGCACTAATAGTATTTTGTTTTTATTTATGCGTATTTGTCCTCGAAATCACATATCCACAAACAACAGATGCTAAAAAAAGAAGAAGCTTTTTTTTAATTTTTTTCGGGAAAGCATAGTGGGGTGACGTCAGCAACGTTTGCCCTGGCTCTCAGTCGTGTAGCAAGAAAACTGTAACAAGAAAACCAATAAAAAAGAAATTTTATTTTATTTTTGATTCCAGTACAGACAAGCTTCCCCCACTCTAGAAGGCTAACATTTTGTGCTGCACCTTCCGCTTCCTTTTATCTTTATTTAATTTCAGAGATATATAGACTACTACGATATAATAAAACCTGCGAATTGTTGAAAATTACTTTCAGTGTCCCCTCAAAATCTGTTGCTGATTTGTTCGATATCTACCTGAGAATGCTTTTATTGTTCATGTAGGGGTGGAAAGTTGTCATCATTGTAGTTTTGAACGTAGCGGTGGAATACCGAGCGCCGCAATCAACCATCGGCGTTTGGAACCCTGCTTTTTTTCTTAGTACACTCCCCTGTCGCGTAAGCACATAGGCAAAAATGGCGCATGTCCGTCTGCCACCAATGCGCATGCGCATACAAACCCAAACAAAGTTTGAACGTGGGCAAAAAAAAAAAAAAAGAAAGAACTCGTCTGCTACCGGCGCGCATGCTCAAGAACTACTCCGGAAGCGAGTTCCGCTTCCTTCGTTGGTGAGGTGGAGCAAAGGCGCCCGGTGAAGCAAGCTGGCTTGGGCGCCGCTCAAGCAACAGCGCTTCCGACGGTAACATCTTTTAATTAAAACCCGAATCGATGCGGCCGCGTGTCTCGGCGAGCAGCCACACGCTGCAGACGTTCAATAAGAAGACACCGCGTTGAATTCCCAAGCAACGAAAGCTCGAGCTTAGCAGACAAACCCTAGGCAATCTACGCGCCTGTCACCGACACGTCTCGCACGCGAAAGGCGCTCACCTATATTGGTGGGCCGATATTCTGCGTAGAACAGTGACTTTAATGACGCGATTTCGATTCGATTCGGCACTTTATGCTCGCCTGTCTAGGAGTCTCAATATTTCACGGGTCACTGTGGTCGATTTGGATGTGTTGTGATGGCTTGTGTTCGAGAGTTAAGCCACTGTCAAGCTGAATCCCCCATCACACAAAAAACAATCTGCAAACAGTGTCTGAGGCATTCCTTCTATGACGGTCACATTGGTAAAAAAATGTCTGTAGCATGCATGCTCCAAACATATCTATCTATAGAAAGTTCTAAAGATGTATCTATGTATCTATATAACGTTTGAACGTGCTTGAGGAGTGCCCACAGGTAATTTTCTCATCCTATCTGCACTGAACGCCATGTCACTTAAAATCAATGCGTGCCAAAGATCGCTTATATAAAGCATTTTTAAAATCGCGAGACTTGGTCAAACTAGCAGAATTTAAGTTACTGAGAAACCACCTGAACGCAGATTTGAGGCGTGCAAAGCGAAACTATTATAACCAACTTTTTGATTTTGAATGTATGAAGCATCCTGACTTGCTTTGGAAAAGACTTAATGCTCTCTTGGGCAAAAATACTAACAATGATAGAATAGAAAAATTAGTTATTGATGGGATGGAAAAGTGCGGTTCTGAACTATCAGATGCTTTTAATCGTTATTTTGTGAACGTTGGGTCTAGTACCTACTGCAGTGATGCAGCACAAAATATACCTAGAGTTTGTGATACTATATTTTTTTATCCTACCGATGAATATGAAGTTTTTTCGACGATAAATAATTTACGCAACAATCACAGTTGCGATGCTGATAGTATAAACATTAAACCCGTGAAATTTGTTGTCGACCTCATTGTGCCTTGTTTAACACATATTTATAACCTTGCTCTTTCGTCGGGTGTGTTTCCCACAGGCATGAAAACAGCAAAAGTAACAGTACTGTTTAAGGCAGGAGATAGAAATAGTATGGGGAACTATCGTCCAATATCCATTCTTCCTATTTTTTCAAAAGCCTTAGAAAAGCTTATGCACTCAAGGATCACAAATTTCTCAGATCATCATAATGTATTAATAGAATCTCAGTTTGGGTTTAGAAAATTTAGGTCTACCGAGTCTGCCCTTTTGCACCAAAAAGAAATTATTTTAGATACTTTGAAAAAAAGTTAACAACGATTGGCGTTTTCCTTGACTTTAGTAAAGCGTTTGATTGCATCAACCATGGTATACTTTTAGACAAGCTATTTTCGTATGGCTTTCGGGGAGTTTCATTTTCATTGTTAAGGTCATATTTTGAGAACCGTTGCCAATATGTTTCCATAAACGAGCATAGGTCCTCTTTGCTTAACATTAATTGCGGTGTTCCCCAAGGAAGCATTCTAGGTCCCCTTTTATTTCTTTTTTATATAAACGATATAGTTGCTATTGACTCTGATGTAGATTTTATTATTTATGCAGATGATACAAGTATGATCATTTCTGATTCAAATAGTGAACGTCTTATCAGCAAAACAAATAATGTCCTTTCAAAATTAAAAACCTGGTGCATAAACAATTCCCTTCATATAAATGCTAGCAAGAGCAAGGCTATAATATTCCAACTACATTCCAGAACTCAAGCAACCTCATCCTCTCTTCTGAAATATGGCACTGATATTATTCAATATGTTGAAAATATAAAAACTCTTGGTGTATTTTTTTCTTATAACATGTCTTGGAACGACCATATTAGACACGTTCGCACTAAACTTTCTAGAATAGTGGGTGTGTTAAATAAATATAGAAACATTTTACCCACAAGTGTCAAAATTCAACTTTTTAAATCACTATTCTATCCCATCTTATGCTACGCGCACCTAGTGTGGGGGTCTACCGGCGCAACGAACTTAAACTTGCTTCGAATATTGCAAAAAAAAGCTCTACGAGCCATAGCTAATGTCTCTTCAACCTCTCCATCCTTGCCACTGTTTGAGAAGTACTCCATACTTGACGTTTCAAAAATGTATCCACAACGATTAATATTAACATTCCAGTCTGCCATGAAAGGTAAATATGATACTTTTCTCGCTATTGCGGACCTTCATTTGCACGATTCCATTCGTCAAACACGTCAGATACATCCATGGCATATACCACAATCACGAACTAACTTTGGACGTCAAAGAATTAAACATGCACTTCCCGAGCTACTAAATCATATCGCATTATTAGGAATTGATGTTATGTCAGTGGGCAGAAATGATATCTCTTGCATTGTATAATACTTAAAACATACCTTCTATTGTTTTTTTGTTTTTTTTTTCTGTGTTAGTGTTGCTTGCCTTGTAGGGGTACCAAAGGGCCGGTCAAGCTGCAAATAGCAGCTTTTTTCCTTTGGTTTTCCCCCATCGCTGATGGAAATAAAGAAATGTTTCAATGTTTCAATGTCTTTCATATGCGGACCACAAGTGTGTGCTTCCTTTGGGGGGTTGTGGTGACGTCAGAACGCCAAGCTCTGGTGTGTTCTGAATGAAAGGTAGAGGGTAGACCTCAAGGCAGCTTGCTTTGAGGTCTACCCACCATCCTTCAATCAGAGCCAATCGGAGCTCGGCGTCTTTCTGACGTCACCGCAACTCTTGCGCAAGAAGCAGACGACTTGCTCTCCGCATACTATACGAGCAGTGCGACTGCAAGCTTCCCGATAAACAGGAGTAAAACCACAGTGTCGCACATTTTCCAATGTGGCACGCGATCAAAATGTATTACGAATTTCCTTTTCAAGACGAAAGTATAAATGAACGCAGCGAGCGGCTGCAGGGGACCTGCCCGGGTGCTGGTTTGCAAATTGTCTCGTAGCGGCTTTCGGGAGGCGCGGGAGAGATCTGCGGCGGTCGCATCAAGGGACCGCGCTTTTCTGGGAAGCGTCTCTAAGCGCGTTGCCATTTTCGTCTTGAGAACCGAATGCGAGACGTGTGCTTGTCAAGCAGTTGGGTTAATCTGTCACTGGGACGAGGGAGGCGACGTGTGAGCCTTTCCATGAACGCGTGCGTGCGGCGCTTTCTATATGTTTACTTGTTCGCTGGCTTCGGTTATGTCTTAATGTCGAATCAAAATTTACTGTCCTAAGATTCGTCTAACTCGGTGCGGCCTTCCTTCTCTTCAAGAATCGGCGCAATGTTCAATATTTCCGGTTTTTTTTTTTTTTTTGCATTTTTTACGCGACGATATTTTTAGTGTAGTTGATTACCACCATCAAAACGCATATCATAAGAGTAGAGCGTAGAGCAAAACGCGAACGTCTTTCTTTTACATCACGAGCATATGGGATTACGTATTCAGGGTCTTTAATAAAATCGAGACGGAAAAAATAACAACAACATTTCGTGGTCTTGTTGATGTTTGGATTTAATGTTGTTCTATCGCTATAGGTACGTCAGAGAGGGGAGATGGTCGTGCATGATCCTTCCTTAATGAGGGATAGACCAACGCGTCCCACAGTCGCCAACAGCCTGAAAAAAGAATGGCGAGCCTTGAGCTTCGTAATTATTATTGCTCCTCAGCTAATCTGATTGCCGCATCTGCCAATATGAACGCCGAACAACGAAGCAAGAAGTGTGTGAGATAAGGCGGGCCAATAGGAGACAAAGATTTAGAAATAAACCTTGTTTTGTTTTCCAGTTTTATTACAAATTAAAAAAAAAAAAAAAAAACAGTGGGGAAAAACGAGTGCTCCGTAGTGTTTAGCGCATCGAGCACTGTAAGTCACACATTTGACGTTCATTGCGCGGTTTGCGACATGCTTGTGCGTTGCCGACTTATTCAGTGAACAAACAGTCCGAAGCTTGGCTCCTTTTCCCGGTATAAACTTTCTCCTCGGTGTCATTTGTTTCGCAGTAAGCGTAAACTATTTTCTGCACCTCATTGCACGTCAGCACGAACAGGAAATTTTCCATGCAAACAATATGCTAAACAACCTTTTTTTTTTTTTCGATCGACGGGAGAAGTTTGTGGTTTGAAGCCCAACTCACTTTTCTGAAACACTTGCTTTTTTTCATATTCGTTGAGATTTATTGCACTCCTTTAGACTAGATCCTTATTTTAACGATGACTTTTGCTGCAGCGCGAATAGACTGCCGCTGCTGATGCGCACTTTTAGGCGCCTTCTTCGTGTGATTTTTGTATAATGAAGAACTGGCTTTTTTACGCCAAAATTGTCCTAGATAATAATTAAAAGAAAAAAAAAACGGCTTTAGATCAGGAGGAAACCTTGAACCCCCAATGATCATTTTGCGCCTGTTGATAGTCATATTGTCACGAATGATAGGTGATGAGGCGACGAATCAAAAGTAATTAAACGTTCAACTTAATGAACTTGTGCGAAACAAAAAAAAAATAATCAAAAAGGTATCGTCGCAGGCGTCGGAGGTCGGCGGAATAGCACGACCGGGCGAAAGAGCGAGACTGGTCCCCGATCGCCAGTCGGAGTATCTTTAGTACCCACATAGGTTTCCGGAACATTCGGCGTAGAACGTTTGGTGCGTAGAACATTCGTACCCCGATCAGACAACTGGGTCATCCAACTTAAGAGAATGCTAAATTGAAGGAAGAAAGAATCGAAGCGTCCGTTCCCTGGAATCGGACCTGAGGCCTCCGCGCGAAAGCCAATTGTACGGTAACCATTTGGCCACGCACGCTCGGTCGGCGACGCGCCTATTGTCGCGTTTAGCACCTGAGTACGCTCTTATTTAAATGATTTCATCGTATTAGCAGTCAAAACCTAAGGCGATAAAACCTTTTCCCGAGTTGGCCAACGAAACATACAATTAAGATAAGGGCTTAGCCTGGTACAGTAAAACTCAGCTGCACGCCTCCAGAAGAATCCAAGTGCAGAATTAAACCTTCCTATGGCGGCTCGTATACCCACAAACGTTAACGGAGCTTTTTATTATTATTTTTTCGTTGGGCGGGTTTTCATTAGTTGTAGCAGATTTTCTACGAAGTAAAGCGGAGAAGTGCCGGCACATGCTGGCAAAATATCCAATTAATCACATTGCACGATTCGAATACAGATTAATGGTTCTAAACTCAAAATGTCTCGCTTTGCCCCGATTTACCGTCCAAAACAAGCCACGCTCTGCGCTCCTCTCTAGGTGGCTATATACAGGAACTCTACGCTCCTCAAGCTGTCAGCGACAATAGATATCAAGGCCGTAAGGGTAGGTACAGTGCTAATCACACTTGTCTATAACGCGCGAGCGTGCGGCTTTCTCCGGGGAGCGCTATACTTCGTTTCATTTTCGGTCCGAGCGCGGCCAATGTTATGAGCCGAAGGGCCAATCAAACAACGAAAGAGGCACAACGTCATGGCGTGCTCTCCGCAGTTGACAGGACCAGCCGGTATTCGCCGTCTCTTCGTGGGCGCTCCTCCACCAGCTAGTCCTATCAAACGTAGAGAGCACGCCAGACGGTGCGCTTTTGGCGCTGGGTGATTGGCCTTTCGGCTCATAACATTGGCCGCGCTCAGACCGAAGCTGAAATGAAGTATAGACTGGTGGCGATTGCGGAAACTAAGCTAGTAACGTGGCGCAACATGGAACGGCCCGCTCGAGGGGTGTCCTGCCCACTTTATCAGCTGGCGGCGAACGCGGAAGGCTGCTCGCACGCTTTTTACAAACATCATTGCTCGAACAACAAACAAACTAAAACATGAAGGCATATCAACGATGTCGTCATCAAAAAACAAAAATATATCATAATGCACTTTACTTTTATCGCATATCAAGCTGATAGAGTGGGCAGGACACCCCTCGAGCGGGCCGTTCCATGTTGCGCCACGTGACTAGCTTAGTTTCCGCGAATGCATCCAGTCTAGCGCTCCCCGGAGAAAGCCGCACGCTCGCGCGTTATAGACAAGTGTGATTAGCACTGTACGTCGCCTAGAAAAGGCCTACCCGGGTCCGAGCGCTCCCTCCCTCCAATGTTATCTGTGGTTTGTAAGAAGAAAATGATAATGCTTTAGGACTTTTCTTTTTTTGTACAGAAGCAATTAATTTAATTGGCCCCTCTTTAAATAATAGGTTTCAAATCATGAATGATGTCTTTCCTAAGCTCGCGTTAGACTGAGACCTAGTGGCGTAGCCAGGAAGCTTATGAGGCTCCACACTCTTAAAAAAAAGGAGTAGTACTTCGTCCTTTTTGGGGACTAAATCGATGTCACTGAGAGTGATCCCCCAAAAACGGCAAAACCCCGGTTTAGTCCCTCCCTTTTCTTTTAGTCCCTTTTCATTGATCCCTTCAGGTCAAAGTTTTGAACCGTTAAGAGGAGTGCTTTTGATCCCTACAGCAGGGCATCAGGGACTAAGCTTAACTCTTCAGGGGATTAATTATGGTCCCTTGAGCGCCGTCGTGTTTATAATTGGGGGAGTAACTTTGATCCCTTTGGGGATCAACAGTGGTGATTGGGGGACTAACCTTTTTTTATTGGGGACTAAAGTTCGTCCCTTTGGGGATTAATTTTTCCACTTAAAGGGATGATATTTATAGTGACGGGGGAGTAACTTTCGTCCCTTTGGGGATTAATTTTGCCACTTAAAGGGATGATATTTATAGTGACGGGGGAGTAACTTTCGTCCCTTTGAGGATCAATTTTGACCCTTTTAGGGATTAATTTTATAGTATTGAGAGGGTAATTTTCGTCCTTTTGTGAACGAATTTTGACACTTTTAGAGCCGAAATTACTAGTAATGAGACCCTTTAGCTGTGAATAGGAGTGAAAGGTTTGCGGCATTGAACAGCTTCCTATTCAGAAAAGGCAGATTGTGCAACTTGTTTGAAAAGGTATATCTTCTGAAAAGTTGCACAAAGTGTCTTTTCAGAGCAGGGAGGTATTCAATACCTCAGACCTTTCACTCCCATTCACAGCTAAATATTGCAGTACATATGAAAAGTCGCACACCTTTATTTGGAAAAAGCAAGCCTTTGTTGTGAAAGAAGCTGCGAAGACTGGATATGCGGACAACACTCGTAGAACTTTGAGGCAGGTTTTTTTACAGCTAACATCACCATTTTACGAAACATTGCACCAGCTATCTGTAGAAAAAAAAACTAGCACTTTCATTGTGGAAATATATTTATTCTAGAACTACAGAACACTGTAAATGAAAAGAATTGCACATCACAAGAAAGTATACAAGAAAATACTGCCATCTTGGCACTGAAGAACTTGCCGAAATTTTACACGACTAGCATATATATAGGAATCTACAATGGTTCTTAGTGCTGC